TATTTTATTAGCGTTCATGTACAATGTATTCTTTCCTTTATTCGGTTCAGTGAATAGTATGAAACTAATAGTGCTCTAGCTATCGAAACAAAACAAAACAAAATCTCGAAAGTGGTGTAAATGCAATAGAATTAACAAATATACATAGTGTTGGGAAAAGTCACATTTAAAGACGTCGGATATACTGATGTAATGATTTTGTTTATCTACAAAACAGCAAATGAAATTGTAATGAAGAGATGCCTTCTCAATGATGAACCGCACTTGCATTCGAGAAATGGCCTCAATGACTCAAAGTACAAAAAGAACGTAACACAAATGTTTAACACTAGTGTTTAACATAGTGTTAAACATAAATGTTTAATACTAAAGCTACCAGTGCTAGTCAAATTAACATTTTTCAAACTTTTACACAAATTTAGCCATATTTAAACGTAATCATATCGCTTCAGAATTTCTGACATAAAACATACATACAAAATATTTTTCGGTATTTACTTCTAGTTTGCTTTTTTTTTCTAAGAAAAACTTGTATTCTGCCCTATTTACAGCGGGCGATCAATTTGACCAGCCGATATAATATTTTATTTATTCTTAAAACAAATGCAATCAGTACAAAGAAAAGGTTATCTCAATGTCAGATGACAAACAAAATCAATAATAACAAATAATAACAACTGTTACGCCCGTAATCTTGTTATAAACTGTAATCCATCCCTCGATCAAGATAGCGACTAGGTGTCAAAGCATCAACTTAGGCCCATAATAATCCTAAGGAACCGCCATAAAATTTAGCATCTTTTACGGTCAATTATTACAAACATTTTAAAAGTCAAGAAGATTCCTTAGGGTTATTGTTCATTGCATTAAAACACGGTAAAAGTGGGTTTTTCCCAACTCCACCCTCGAGATATTTTCGCTTAAATATCGCCATCAGAGACCATATTCTTACTTGCTATTGTTCTTGTGACCAGACTACATATCAGTTTGTTAGTCAATAAGTCGACATCTAAACTTATAATTTCTGAAACTGAGAACGAGCATCTCAGAGCGTTTTGTATAAAGTTATTATAAAAGAAAAAGTAAAGCATATATAATTTCACAATAATTTTGTATTCCATTCATTGTATTATTCTGTGACAAATATTTGTCCTAAAAGTGTCAAGATTTTCCAAAAAAAAAATTAATAAAAAAAATAACGGACATGAAAGAATATTCAATATGTGATGAACAAGAAACCTTCGGCAACAGAAAACAACATGGAAACACATGAAACACTAGTTATAAGCGAATGAATATTCAATATTATAATTAAGCGTTCACGTTTAGAGCAAGAAGGAAAGAAACTATCGTTAACAGTAGAGAGTGAGACTGATGTAGAGAAACAACGTATCGAAACTGTGCCCGATGGAACAGCTTAAAAGGAGATAGATGCAAGCCCCAAACCTGCCAAGACATCAGCTCATAATATTTTAGAGATATGCTAAACGACATATAATGAAAGGACAAGTAAGGACGACATTTTATCATGTATCAGGAATCATATAATAAAATATACGGGAGAAGCATTTAGAGTATTAGGACTAAGGGGGAGCTAGATGCAACAAATATAGATGCATTCATTGCTCTGCTATATGCCCGCGGTGCGTATTAGGCAAAGAATTTAGATATCTCATATTTGTGGAATGAAATTTGGCCTGCATATTTTCGAAAACAATAAGCAGGAATGACTTTGCTGAAACGATGAGATTTATATGATTTGATAAGAAGGGCGAATAAAGCCAATAAATTTGCAATGGTATCTATAGTATGGTGACCTATTTATAGAGAATTCACAAAGTAGTTATGAACCTGGTGCATACGTTACTTTTGTATAAAGAATTGCGGGAAAAAACCATGCAATAAAACTATCAACAAGTGCAGATTCATGTAGTATCGGGGAGAAGGACCTAAGAAACATCGAGTTAACTATAGACAATGTCGCGAGAACCGAGGCGCTGTCGGCTCCATCAATGCGTTATTCGTCCTTCAAATAAATAGTTTCGCCGAAAAGGCCTACGTGACCCTGGCTACGAGCGTCCGTGGAACACGTGTGCGGTGGGCCTAGCAAAAGACAAAAGAATGCTACAACGGCCAGAGAGTCAGCTGAGAAGCAGAGTGTGAGTTGAGTGGTTGTGAATCGACGTGCGACGATATTATAATCGGTCCTTTTGTTCTTGAATATCGCTTATTTAAACTACACTAAACTCTATTTATATTCCTTTTGTTATTGAATATCGCTTATTAAACTACATTAAACTTTAAATCTACCATCATTACTTGTCCTTACTCTAAGAATCTATACCTTACTGCATTCATTACTACAAAAAACTTGTCAAATAAAAAATTGTAAATGTTACAAAATTACGAAAATGTGTTCATGATGCGGGAAATATATATGCGGCAAATATACATTCGATAATAAGATAATTTGTACAAAATGCAGCGAGGTTGAAGAAGATATATCCCTACATAAATAAAAGTGTAATTTTATTTAAGTCTAGAATTGAAATTAAACAAAAGCAAATTTGGACGAAAGTTTCTGAAAGTTCATTATTTTATATACATTCAGTTATAAATTAACCATTATCTAAACTAAATCCTAAAAACTGTTATTTCTTTAATCACCGGTCATTTTGACCCGATAAGGTAGGAAGAGATGTACATGAAGTGTCGGAAGATTTAGTGTGAAAGGTACTATCAATCAATCTTGATGTGTATTTGAATAAATGAAATCTCATATTAAAGTGATTGCTTCATTAACCGTACAGTTTCGTCATGTTTGAAGAGATATTTTGACACAGCATCTAAATAATTGACAAGTATATTCACGAAGAAAGTGATAAATAAAATAAGGAAAATGTATTTTATCACGATGAACGATATTTTACTTGAACTTAGTAATACAATTGGGTAATACATATCTCTCCATTATTATTTCATGGCATCTTTTATACATATGTAATCAATGTTACATTAGTATACTTCATTTCATCTGCGCATGTTTCACTTTATTTTACTAAATACAAAGGATCTTATCATTTACAATGTTACACGACTAAAATATATCTTGCATGGTTGACGTAGTTACCGCTGAGAATATTTTGTACTTTCATAAACACGAAAGATGTGGGAAATGAATTAGTTAACCGTGTCCTTAACGCATACCACTATCCAGTTTCAGTAGTAGGGCGGGCTTAATAATAATATAAGAATCTAGAGGAGCGACACATCGATACAGTACTGTGGAAGACGTGTAGGTATTTACTATCGTGAAGTGTACTTTTGATCGATCTTTGGTAAACAATACGCAGTGGAAATATTATCAGGTAACAGACGATTCCTTGTTATTTCGTATTGAATTGTGCCTTTCATTAATATCATTATTATCAATTTTATTATTATAAATATGATATATATCAAAAATATCATTCGGGTCTTTAATTATTACAATAGCTTAAATGAAGTTTTTGAATACTCAAATATTTTGTATTTTACATTTTACGCAGTGAAATCGTTCACTATTTTGATTTTTCAATAATTTACAACCAGTCAATAGACGTAATCAGAACATTCGCCTTTACGAGATAGTTGCCCGAGATATCGGATAATTTTTGTCAAAAATTGAGTTTAGGAACGGATTTTCGTAAGTTATTGTTAGGACCTGCTTGGACTCTCGCGTTTATGAAAATTGAGAATACGCTGCGCGGTAACAACATTAACCATGCGAGGTATTTTAGGCGTTTTACATTTTAACTGGTAAGATCCCTTGTTTTTAATAAATAAACTGAAATATACGCAAATGAACTGAAGTGTACATACATAATATTGATTACATTTAAAAGAAACGATGAAATGGTAGTAGAGGGAGTATGTTATTACGCAATTATTTTATTAAATTTAAGCAAAATACTCTACATGGTGATAAAATATATTTCTCTTGTTATATTAATCACATTCTTTATAATTATACTTTTTAATTACTTATCAATATAAACATTGTTTCATAGACATTCGTGAGTTAAGAGGGCTTAATTACTTCTATAATATATATAAATGTATCAAATCTCTATATCACAAAAACGTGTGCTATAACAGGCTCGATATTGTAAAGATCAAGCAGAAAACAAATTACAGGAACGGATTTTCGTAAGTTATTGTTAGGACCTGCTTGGACTCTCGCGTTTATGAAAATTGAGAATACGCTGCGCGGTAACAACATTAACCATGCGAGGTATTTTAGGCGTTTTACATTTTAACTGGTAAGATCCCTTGTTTTTAATAAATAAACTGAAATGTATGCAAATGAACTGAAGTTTACATACATAAAATTGATAACATTTAAAAGAAACGATGAAATGGTAGTAGAGAGAGCACGTAATTACGCAACTATTTTATTACATTTAAGCAAAATACCCTACATGGTGATAAAATGTATTTCTCTCGTTATATTAATCACATTCTTTATGATTATACTTTTTAATTATTGAGATGCTGCGTCAAAATATCTCTTCGAATATCAATTTCATAGATATTTGTGAGTTAAAAGGGCTTTATGTTCAGTATGTTTAGAAAATTGTTGTTAGTTGATTATATTAATTTTCTTCACTTTTATACTATATATAAATGTGCGTGTACAATACTCAACGTATGAAATCTTTATAACACTATTGTTTGTGCTATAAAAAGCTCGGTATTGTAAAGATCAAGTCGAAAACAAATAATGCAACGTAATATACATAAGCATGACGATATAAATTTTTTTTACATATATTATACATGAAAATTATAATCATTCGTGCAAGGCGAAACCATAATTGTTGAATTGCGTATATTTCTTTAGAAGGTAATATATATGAAAAGATCTCAACTGTAACCAATATAGTATATTATTTAACACATTTATCCACATACTGTTTGTCGGGAATGGCAATTTATGGCAACTATTGGAACTGCAAGTGTTAAGATCTTGAAACATGGATACAATCAATCGAGAAACAAATGAAAATGGGACAAACGAAGGACTGAATAAGACGAATTCGCTCGAGGAATTCTACGCCGGTTGTGGGATCCTTGTGACTGGAGCAACCGGTTTCGTTGGAAAAGGTCTCCTCGAAAAACTGATCCGCATGTGTCCACGCATCGCTGCCATTTTTATACTAATTCGTCCAAAGACTAACGAAACGATAGAACAACGATTTAAGAAGCTCATAGGTGATCCGGTTCGTAAATATATATTTGTTCCTTTCAATATTTAACGCAGTCAGGAGCCAAATTGATCAACTTTCTTTTCTGGAATTGAGTTGCTAATTTTTCGTCTTTAGATTTACGATGCCATCAAAGCAAAACGCCCTTCAGCTTTGAACAAGGTTTATCCCGTGAAAGGTGACGTGAGTCTGCCAGATTTAGGTCTTTCGCAAGAACATAGAAATCTGTTGCTTGAGGAAGTAAATATAGTGTTTCACGCCGCGGCCACTGTGAGATTCAACGAGCCATTACACGTGGCTGTTAATGTGAATACGAAAGGTACAGCTCGTATCATCGAACTTTGGAACGAACTAAAGCATCCAATTAGCTTCGTCCACGTCAGCACAGCTTTTAGTAATGCTAATCTACATGAGATTGGGGAAAAAGTTTACACGTAAGAATAAGTTATACGCAAACGTTGTTCCATGATTTATGAATATTATATTCATAATTATAGCATGAAGAATATGTTCACTTATTATCGACTTTGCAGTACGAGCTTGAAACCTTCGAATGACAATTCTTTTAAGTATATATGTATTTCATATCTTCTTGGCTGCTAAGTTATATAATTCTGTCGTCTTTGTTTTTTACACGAACGCGAATAATCATCGATTATAGATTATACTCATTGTTATTTATTGATGTTTACTCACCGAAATCTTTAACGACTTATCGGAAACATGCTTCCTTTTGACTCCATAAATAATTAATGAATAACAGCATATATAAACAATGTTTATACTAATTTCACATACGCACCGCGACCGTCTCGTCCATGGGAGCACAGAAAAATCACATACGTATTAAGTATTCTGGAGGTGCTACTAAATGTGGGCGAACACTGTCTCGTACGACCACGCACATTTTCCACGCAAATTACTGATTACTACATATTACAATATTCATATATATGCACATAAAATATGAAATGAAAAAGTCAAAGGAAATTGAAAAATGCTTGACTCGAATAAAGTTAAACTCGAAGTATTAATTATACTTTTATGGAGTAATGTGTAATAATACAAATTAATGTACAGCCACATGAAAAATTGAATTTAATGCTTGAATAGTTCTTTCAACTTCTCGCTTTTTTTATATTAAAGTCTACCAAGTAGGAGAAATATTTTTTAAATTACAATGGAAGCGCCATTGACATAACGCAATTTTTTGATTCGTGGAAAACGAAACCATTATTGGTGGATTATGTTTCTCTTTGGAAGATTAACTGTAGATTTCTTTGGAAAATAATATGTAAAAAAATCTCAGCTATAACAAATTTTGTACATTATCTTAAAAGATTTCCACTTACTATTTGTTACTCTATGGCAAATATAGGGACCGCAAGTGTGAAGATCCTGAAACATGGATACAATCAATAAAGAAACAAATGAAAATGGAATCAATAAAGAACTGAATAAGACGAGTTCTCTCGGGGAATTCTACGCCGGTAGTGGGATTCTTGTGACAGGAGCAACCGGTTTCGTTGGGAAAGGTCTCCTGGAAAAACTGATCCGCATGTGTCCACGCATCGCTGCCATTTTTATACTAATTCGTCCAAAAACTAACGAAACGATAGAACAACGATTTAAGAAGCTCATAGGTGATCCGGTTCGTAAATATATATTTGTTCCTTTCAATATTTAACGCAGTCAGGAGCCAAATTGATCAACTTTCTTTTCTGGAATTGAGTTGCTAATTTTTCGTCTTTAGATTTACGATGCCATCAAAGCAAAACGCCCTTCAGCTTTGAACAAGGTTTATCCCGTGAAAGGTGACGTGAGTCTGCCAGATTTAGGTCTTTCGCAAGAACATAGAAATCTGTTGCTTGAGGAAGTAAATATAGTGTTTCACGCCGCGGCCACTGTGAGATTCAACGAGCCATTACACGTGGCTGTTAATGTGAATACGAAAGGTACAGCTCGTATCATCGAACTTTGGAACGAACTAAAGCATCCAATTAGCTTCGTCCATGTCAGCACAGCTTTTAGTAATGCTAATCTACATGAGATTGGGGAAAAAGTTTACACGTAAGAATAAGTTATACGCAAACGTTGTTCCATGATTTATGAATATTATATTCATAATTATAGCATGAAGAATATGTTCACTTATTATCGACTTTGCAGTACGAGCTTGAAACCTTCAGATGTGATCGATATGTGCGACCAATTAGACAAAAATTCGATAAACCTAATGGAAAAAGAGATTTTAAAAACTTATCCAAACACATACGCATTCAGTAAGAATTTAGCAGAGCAGATTCTAGCAAGCAAGTGCAAAGATCTGCCAGTTGCCATAGTTCGGCCAAGCATAATTGGCGCCTCTTTGGAAGAACCATGTCCTGGTTGGATAGAGAATATTTCTGCATTAACAAGTATTTTCATAGATATATTCCGATAGTAATTTTTCAATACTCTTTACATTTCCTAAAATTGGAGTTAATCGATTTGTTTGTGAGAGGATAAATGAGAGGCTCTCCACTAGATCATCATTATTAAAGTTCAAATTTGTTGTTGCTCACAATTACGAGAATTTTTACCAATCTATTTAGCGGTACATTTCTGGTAATCCAAAATCACAAATAATTTCTAAGCCAGTTTAATGTTACCAGGTACCTTTGTGCTAATTGGTAGAGGATGTGCAACAGCGATACGAGGTATGAGAGAGGCCAGATTGGATCTAGTGCCAGTCGATTTCGTAGTCGACATGATGATATGTACAGCATGGCATGTCACGCTACATCGTGATCATGAAGTTAAAGTATACAACTGCACGAGTAACGCATGCCCTTTTAAGTAATATTTCTTACAAATATTTTTCAACTAACGTTATTCGATTGCTAGAGTATTCCAAAAGTTTCAGATTATTTAAGTAACGTGGACAATAGAAGAGCAAACAAACAGAGAAGATCTCAATATGTCATTAGTTTAGAAAAATAGCGAAACAATATTATATTTATGTCATTTCCATAATATTTCCCGAGATACTCGTATGATAATAAACTTTGCTTTAACTATAATTCTAGTAATTAATAATAATGTTAGTGTTTCAATTGACAAGGTGGGGTCAGATGATAGATGCTATAGTAAAATGTAGCATAGGAATGCCACTGAACGATACACTATGGTACCCAGGTTGTTCAGTTGTAGCTAATAGGTATATTTATCACATTCTGTGTGTAATCCCGCGTGTTTTGCCTGCGGTCGTCATAGATATCTTTTTAAGACTTCGAGGTAGTAAACCAATGTGAGTGTTCCATCGATTGTCAAACAACATGCCAATCGTTCTGGGATAATCTCTGACTTCATCTATAATAATAATTAAAAATGATATTTCAGAATGATGAAACTTCTGAAAAATGGCAATAAGCTGTTCACATCGGTAAAATATTTCACCATGCACGAATGGACTTTTCAAAGAGATAACTGTTCCGACCTGGCGAGGAAGGTGAAAATGTTCAACCACAGCGATATGGTCAATCTAGATTTACGGGCTATGAATTGGGAGAAGTATGTTGCAATTTACCAGATGGGAGTTAGGAAATTTATTCTGAAACAAGACTTTAAGTCCACAGCCCGACAACGATTATCAAGGTGCGTATAAAAGTATCTTCGTATAAAAAAAATTGGAATTCATATGAATATTTTCTGTTATTTCAGGTTGTACTGGATACATCAGATCTCCAAAATGTTCGGCATAACGATCTTACTATGGATAATATACCGTATCGTGTACTGACTATTTGAACCTATTTTTTTTTGTTTAAACTAAAGGAATACTAACTCAATTTTATGAAGAAGGGATTCAACATCCTTTTCATTTGGTTTCTCACTCGTTTCCTTTCTAAATAAATCCATTTATAATACTGCTTGATTTTTTTATAAAATTTTAATGAGAATGCAGTTGTTTATACGCAGATGATTTCAGAGCTGTAAGCAATTAATCTGCTTACTGAATATGAACATTTTTGTATTACAAGGTCAACATTATAATGACAAAATTCTCTACCATTCTTCGCCAAACAAAAGTTACGAGATAGTTATTGGTTGAAAATAATAATTTATTATTGAAAAGTCTACTGAGCAATAAACGATGCTGGTAGTAAATAAATGTTTTAAAATATAATAGTGTTGAGGTATAAAGAGGATTCGGAATTACATATAATTTACTGTATTTCACACACAATGGCTATGCATATGTCGGGTTTACATTAGAATTAGAGTTAGGGGCGTCAAGCGAATCTTCGTTCGGATTACACGTTGTCGTTATGCAATAGAGAAAACATTGACTAGTGCAGATACGATTATTATAGAATTGGACAACCGTGGTAATTAGATACTCGAGAAACTAATGACAATGATCCCAGGTTTAATAACGAATCCGCGGTCAACGGGATGATAGATGAACATGCTCACAATATTTAAGTCGGACGTTTTGTTGGAATATCCACCGAGCGTACAGAGATGCTATAGTAAAATGTAGCATAGGAATGCCACTGAACGATACACTATGGTACCCAGGTTGTTCAGTTGTAGCTAATAGGTATATTTATCACATTCTGTGTGTAATCCCGCGTGTTTTGCCTGCGGTCGTCATAGATATCTTTTTAAGACTTCGAGGTAGTAAACCAATGTGAGTGTTCCATCGATTGTCAAACAACATGCCAATCGTTCTGGGATAATCTCTGACTTCATCTATAATAATAATTAAAAATGATATTTCAGAATGATGAAACTTCTGAAAAATGGCAATAAGCTGTTCACATCGGTAAAATATTTCACCATGCACGAATGGACTTTTCAAAGAGATAACTGTTCCGACCTGGCGAGGAAGGTGAAAATGTTCAACCACAGCGATATGGTCAATCTAGATTTACGGGCTATGAATTGGGAGAAGTATGTTGCAATTTACCAGATGGGAGTTAGGAAATTTATTCTGAAACAAGACTTTAAGTCCACAGCCCGACAACGATTATCAAGGTGCGTATAAAAGTATCTTCGTATAAAAAAAATTGGAATTCATATGAATATTTTCTGTTATTTCAGGTTGTACTGGATACATCAGATCTCCAAAATGTTCGGCATAACGATCTTACTATGGATAATATACCGTATCGTGTACTGACTATTTGAACCTATTTTTTTTTGTTTAAACTAAAGGAATACTAACTCAATTTTATGAAGAAGGGATTCAACATCCTTTTCATTTGGTTTCTCACTCGTTTCCTTTCTAAATAAATCCATTTATAATACTGCTTGATTTTTTTATAAAATTTTAATGAGAATGCAGTTGTTTATACGCAGATGATTTCAGAGCTGTAAGCAATTAATCTGCTTACTGAATATGAACATTTTTGTATTACAAGGTCAACATTATAATGACAAAATTCTCTACCATTCTTCGCCAAACAAAAGTTACGAGATAGTTATTGGTTGAAAATAATAATTTATTATTGAAAAGTCTACTGAGCAATAAACGATGCTGGTAGTAAATAAATGTTTTAAAATATAATAGTGTTGAGGTATAAAGAGGATTCGGAATTACATATAATTTACTGTATTTCACACACAATGGCTATGCATATGTCGGGTTTACATTAGAATTAGAGTTAGGGGCGTCAAGCGAATCTTCGTTCGGATTACACGTTGTCGTTATGCAATAGAGAAAACATTGACTAGTGCAGATACGATTATTATAGAATTGGACAACCGTGGTAATTAGATACTCGAGAAACTAATGACAATGATCCCAGGTTTAATAACGAATCCGCGGTCAACGGGATGATAGATGAACATGCTCACAATATTTAAGTCGGACGTTTTGTTGGAATATCCACCGAGCGTACAGACACTAAGTAGCTCGCTTATACGACCTCACGAGAGAATGACTTTCCGTCGCGATGATGCTGCGGAGGAAAACTATG